GTTTCTGTTGCAGCTACATGGTAATAGGGAAATGTTTGGTGTCCATTTTCTGAATGCATTTACAAAGTTCTAACCTAAAAAGACAATTTTATTGGAAGAGACTGGTTATATATTAAGTAAAACGGTCACTCTATTTCTGTTAGGCTCAGAAGCGGCCGGGCGGTAAAGTCACTGAACACTGGCAGTTCGGTCCGAGTTTCGAATCCCGCGAACGGACTGGCTGCATGGGTGTTTTCCTCATGTGTAGCATGTATATGAGCCAGTTTTCCTTAGAAAGTCTTCCACGAAGGTATTCCTTCCATTAGGCAGATAGCTCTCTGGCTTTGCTGTAATTACATATACCAAACCTACTTCTGGCCGAGGGCCACGAGGTACGAATTCATTAATAATTATGAGATGCCTAACCTGTAATAAATATGCGATGCCTAACCTGTAATTGTATAAGATGTAAATAGCATTTTAGATTTAAAAAAAAGTAGGTCCAGTGTGGCCAGGAGTAGGGCGAACCACTCTACTTCCTGACAGGGAAAGCAAATTTCATTAGTGGGAGGAGCGAAACAACTTTATACGGGAATGAATGTAGTATGATGTGTTCAGCAAAGTAGTAATGAAATGTGAAAGTATAAGAAATTTAAAACCATTGGGAAGTGCGAGACTGATTGTCGGCTTAATGTAATGCTTGTGGGCTAAGTGTCCTGTCGGCTAAGTGTCCATGTCGGCTAAATGACCTGTCGGCTAAATGTCCTGTCGGCTAACTATCCTTGTCGGCTAAACGTCCTGTCGGCTAAATGTCTTGTCGGCTAACTGGTGTCGGTTAAGTGTCCCGTCGGCTAAATGTCCGCGACCGCCTATATATAATATATATATATTATTAATTTATTACTAAAGAAATTGATTTATATATCTCCTAAGATGAATTTTAGTAGAATTATCGAAAAGAAGTGATCCAGAGTTAGTAAGTTTAATTCCGAACATTGTTTTAAAAGTAACTTGAATGAATGTTAAAAATGATTAAAGGGGACTTGAATTACATCATGAATAACAAAATTTCAATTGTACAAAGTAATTAAATTAATTGCAAGTAATTAAATTAAAAGCAAGTAATCATTGCCATTGATAGGAAATTAGTTGACCTTTCAAGGGGAACAAACCAACCCCCGTTCAATGAACAATAATTAAGAAATAAGTACGAAGGTGTTTCGCCCTTTACTCAAGTGATAAGGCGATGCCAAACTGGCAATTCAAGCTAGGCCAAATATTTCCGTGAATTGAAGGGATCAAGAACCAATGCAGAGCACTAAAGAACTCATTCTGATTAAGCATTTTCGCTAATTCAATTTTGAGTGAAAAGCAGTTTATGCAGTAAATTTGATAAATTACCTGAGTAATTGTCCCCCGACACCCTCATGTTTATGCATTTTAATTCAAAACTATTTGTAAAAAATTAAACAGTGTAAATTGGCATTATGAAATAGAACTCAAAATAATTGAAATAAACATTAAAAAATTACGAAATATAAGAAATATAATGCAATCTTTGCAAAAACAAATAAAAAAATAAAATAAAAATAAAAATTGAAATTGAAAATATATATAACAATAAAAGGGAACGTGCATGAAGATATAAAAGGCAAGAAAAAGTATTAATTAACTTACGTTTTTTCCAGTGGGAAGTGGGCAGTCTTACTCAGAAGGGTTGCGTTTCCGAAATTCTTTATCGCCAGCGGGGGCTTCGAATTATTTCAGTCGGCTAAACATTTGTGAAGTAATTTGGAGTGACTAGGAATGCTTGAGGGACGTTTGTTGTGGAGTTCTTGTTTGAGTGAAACCGTCTGTTAAAATTTTTGAATATACTAGTGAACGGAAATTAATTAATTTCTGGCTAATTGTCTTGTCGTAACGAGGAAGAAATTAAGAAAAGATAAAAAAGGAATTTTCACTGTGAGAGCTATTTGACAGACTAAAGATTATGAAATAGGCCCATTTTTTTTAGTAACAGCATAAGTCTGAAGACAATTAGCTTTCCATTATATACACTTTGTAATTACACTATGTACAAATCCTTCAACTGATAGTCTAACCTAACTCTACACCTAAACCTGAAACCTGAGAAGGCGGTATAAGTTGGAGATATCAGTTGGTTTAGTCGGTAGTTGGTTGTTCCCCTGAAAAGTCACTAATTTCCGTCAATGGCAATGATTACTTGCTTTAATTTAATTACTTGCTTTTAATAATTACTTGCTACTTGCTAAATTTAATTCTTTTTACAACGAAATTTTGTTATTCTATTTAATTCAAGTCCCCGTTAAACTTTTAACAATACATCAGTTACTTTAAAACAATGTTCGCTTAAAATACTACTATGGATCACGGATTCACTTCTTTTAGAATTCTACTAAAATTAATTTAGTATAACATAATCAATATTTTAGTAAATAATTTTATTAACTTACTTTGCTGTAGCAATTGCGCAAAAGTAGAATAACTCGATTTCGCACTAAGTGAATTTAAGATCATAAAACATTATATATATAGTGAGGATTTATCTATTTATTTTTAACTAAATTTTAAACTTAAGTTCTTTTCTGGCACTCTCTTTTCACCCACACTCTTCATGCCAGAATGTAAATGAGATAGCGAGCGTTTATTCAAACTGAGGGATAAAGGAGTTCCATTTAAGCGAAGGTTTCGAATTTGATTTTAGAGCCTCTTAAGGCCACTTTGTTCCCGTGAATTTACAGCGATTAGATTCTGTGGCGTTGAGTGCTTCTTGCCATTAGGATCGTCTCTCCGGTTTTCTACAAATCGGAGTCTTTCCCGCGTGTTACTTTATCCTGCAAGCCGTTAAACTAATCTATTACATTTTATTTTTTCCAAGTTCCAAGTTACACTTATGCCGAGATTATCAAGCATTCTGCTTGATGTGTTCCGACTGTCATCAGATGTTTGCTCTTTGGGCGCTGAAAAGAGAATAAGTTCGAAGTGTGAGTCCAGAAGAGCAAAAGCTAATGGCGAAGGGGCGTGACCAGTTGTCACGTGGGCTGCAAGCTGACTTATCATTGGTCGCGAGTCTTCTGAGGAATACCTCGCTAAAATTGCAATTAAATACAGTACAAAACATATATGAGAGTAGAAATAGTAAAATTAATTATATAAATCAGTCTTCTAAATTATTTACATATGCATATTAGTCCAAATCAGGAGATAAACACAAGGCACGGGAAAAAGCAACCCTCTGGTTGTGAGCAACCCTCTGGTAGACGATAAGCGACTTATTGCTATGTCTGAAGTACGACAGAAGTTTGAGAAGAATGTAAAAGACCCTTTACTTAATAAGATGAATGCAAGGTGCATCTGGTGCTTACAAGTCTTCTAATATTTATGTCGAGAAACTAAAAGTAGCAATTTAAATATAAAACTAAATTTAAATAACTATATTATATATATAAATTTAAATAGCCAAAAGTTACACAGAGCAAGTTAACGCGAATTTGGCTCGGACTTTGTCAATGCGAATTTAAGTGTTGGCAACAAAAATGCAAGCCCGAAGACTGGAACTCTTATCTTAGACTAGCAAACCTTAACATGGCCTTTAACAGACAGAACACGCTCTAACTTAACAATTTGAAACATTCACTTAAATACTAGCTGGAAAAAGGAAGTAGGTAAGCGAAAGTAAAATTGAAAACATAAAATAACTGGTTATTTAAATTAAAATAAAACTCACAACCGTTTACTGAACCATTTTTTGATGTTTTATAAGCTATAAAGTCTAATTTTTTTTTGTAATGACAATATCACTAGCTTTAAAAGAGCTGAAAGTATTCTTCAGCTGATAAGCTGAAGCATTTCTAGGTTCTTACAGGCAAAGATGAAATACAATTTTACTCACTACATTCCAAATGAAGAATTTCATTGAAATGCGAAAACGAAATTTAAGAAGTATTTTGGATAAAATATGCTTAGATTAAGAAAACTTGTTGACTGTATTGTGCGATTGCGAAATGGTCATCAGTATCTCACTACGAATGCATCTAATTAATGATTTCAAAGCTATGTCTTAAATAACGCCATTAATGTTCCTTCGCGAAATTATAATAAATAGGTTGATCTTGATCTGGACAGAGATGCATTTAATCTAACTATGAGAAATATTTCTTAGTTAACGAAGATTAAGTTTAAAGAAGCACATTAGTTCCAGACCTACTGAGACAAAATAATAAAAAATATACAATTCTTTGCTGGAGATATTGCGTTAACTAAAAATTATACATGGAAACATTTACATTGATCACTTGTAACACGAATCGAGTTATCATGAAGACTGGAGCATCCGTGGGCGCAGTTTTAAATGAAATCAGGAATATGAATGAGTTCCTGACTGCACTTATTTCACTTAGAAATGATAGCTGAAGTAAGCCTTTCAAAGAAAATAAAAACCTTACATTGATTGTAAATCCCCGTACTTAGAAGTATCCTTAAAATATTTACACAAATGGAACTGAGGCATTAGGAAAGCCGTTAACTGTTGATTTCGTGATGAGAATGTAATTCTTTCCATAAGGAGAACTCAAGGATGAAATATCGCAAATAAAATTTGTAGAATTGAAATGTAGGGAACGGATGGCGTTAAAAATATGAATGAAATATAATAAGTATGGGCGCAGACTGTATTATGTACCGGAAGTTTTAAATTTTAGACTGAAATAAAATGATCTTGTTTTCACGTTCTGTATTATTCTCCATTACATTTGCTATGATTTAAAGAATCTATCTGGAAATAAATGGCAAACAAAATTTACCTTACTAAATACATTTGATTGATAATAGTCACACAAATAATAACAGATATTTTGATAGTAATCTGTTCGTAATTCAGGATAATCAAGATATTAATAATATTTATCCAATAATATACTACTAATATACTACTACAGGTGTAAAAATATATTAAATATGTCTTATGAATGGAGAAAATTGATTCAAATCTGGTGTCATACCTCTAGTTTATTAGTCCTTTTCTTCCGGCAGAAAGAAAATCTGTTCACATAAAATGAAAGTTAATATTTCAGTGATTATATTATACAGAGTGAGTTAGCAAGACGTTAAGAAGTAATGAAACTATTTTATTGACGTATCAGTAACATTTGTAAGTATTTACGTAAAGTATATTGTTATACCAAAAGTTTTCCAGCCCTATAAATTGAGCGTTCCTTATATTTTACCTAACTAAGCAAGAAACATATAAAGGAAATGTATTTTAATAATCACATTGTTAATCACTTTTCCTAGTTTCAGATTTTCAATTAATTGCATTTCTTTATTTTGAATAAATGCTGTTAAACATTTCTTTCGCCGACAGATGAATCAAAAATTCTTTCTTGAAACAGAATTTTTTTTTTCATTTTATCTGTAAACATTTACTTCTAGATTTAAGAGTGTTATTCTTAATAAAATTTAGTTAATTATTCAAAATTGATTTAAATAGAAAAATTCAATCTCGGAAAATGAAACTTTTTAGCGAGATAAATTTAGAAAAAAAGAAAAACATAATTCTGTTGCTTTAAACTTTCTTTTTTACATAATTTTATGCTATATGAATCTGTATGGTTACAATTATTTTGTATTAACCAGTTTTTTATAATTTCAGCATTTACTATAACTTCGCTTTTCCGTTTCGTCGTCAGAAATATACATCAGTTAGAGAGTATTTAAGCTGAGTTTTTAGGATTTTAAGAGAGCGTGTTTCTGTCATTCAAGGATACGTTATTAGGTTTCGCCAGATATGATAAAATAGTAATTCTTCGGCTTTGTGTTATTTCTGCTGACATTTAATTGCTACGCCAGTGAGAAATGAGCAGCCAACTTAGTTTTAAATTAAATTGTGTAGTCTTTTGCTTCTAGTTTAAATTTTAACTTTATTTTGAATTTACTTCATTTGAATTTTTGAATTACTTTATTTTGAACTTTTATTTTGAATTTGAATGGTACATTAAGTTACATCACCACAAGTAGTGGTTGATCTTGTCAAGCACGAGAGGTGAATTTTATGTTCAAGTTCTGATTTTTTATTCTAATCTTCTAAAGTCTTTCTAATTTAAGTTAAAATTTCACGTTAATTTGAGATACGTCTCAAATTAAGTTACAGTTAAGTCTCAAGTTAATTTCAGACCAAGCGATAATTCGTTCCAAGTCTGTTAGGGATTGATACTGGTTTATGCTACCAAAGAAGGTCAAACTCTATAAATGAATAGTAAATTACAAACAAAAATTGGATTTCCAATTTCTCAATGCACAACTAACTACATAAATCTTTTAATTGTATGTCAAATAAAAGTAATAAAATGATAATTATGTATCCGAATGCTATTTTTACATCTCTTTACGAATTTAAGTTACAGGTTTATGAAATTTTCAGGTTCAAGGTGATTTTCTAAAAGCATACCAATTTCGTTTTGTACGGGAAGTATATCAAAGTAGTGCCTGCTCATAACTTCGAGGAAATTTTCAAAAAAAAATTCGATGTTGTTCAATGCATATGGCATTACGTGATGTTTGCTAAAAACCTCACATCTTAAGTGATATATTGAAATTGCTTTTAATGCATTTCCATGTAGAAAAGAACTTCTAGTTCAAGCATTCACAAATTACTTTGATTCACATATTCACAAAATTCACTTTGAATGCAGTTTTCTGATTTTTAAGTGCTATTAAAAGCATTAATAAAAAAAATAATAAATTGGAGAACACGCTGTAATAATAATAATAATAATAAATAAAAAAACTAGTGTGGTTAGCAAAGAAATGAATAGTTAAAATTAGAAAAAAAATGCTACCGAATAAACAAGCACAGATATTAATGTACTTGTGTAACAACATAATGTAATAGAGGAGACAAAATTAGTAAAACAAGTCTAGTACTAAGAATGTAAATTTAAGAATATTTATTAAGAGTGATTTTTGCTATCGCATTCAACTGGAAGTATATGTGTTATCATGACTAAATATTGTGGTGATTTCACTTAGTACTATAAATCTGAATGAGTGTGTCATATTTCTTAGTAGGACTATTAATGATTTTGAAGTTATCAAGCCGCACTCCAAAAAATGAGAACAGATTGCAGTGGCATTACTTACCACGGATACCTACCCTAGGTGAAAGATGAAGAAACGGAGATCGTCCGCCCTAGTATATTCAAATATAATGCACAGGATTTCTATACAGATACATTTCTAGTAACTCCAGGCTCTTCATAGCTTCAATTTGGAGAAAACAATCCATCAGTTCATCTCTGGGAGATTGTGTATTTACTGACGAATGGAATCTTTATCTATAGCACCCGTGAAAATTTAAACATTAGGTTCCATATTTTAGAACATAGAAATAAGATATGTTTTACATTACAATCGGAAATATCTTGGCAAAAAAAAAAAAAACGCGGACGAAACTGTCGGGGAAAAAACAAAGCAAGGCTAAAACGTCGTTATACAAAACATCGTGAGAGAAAAGAAATCAAGGAGAAAACATCGTGGTAAAATATAAAGCGGTTAAAAAATATCGCACTTTTAAAACGTCGTAGTGAAAAATAGCATGGTAACAATAAAGCACCTACAAATCATCACATGACGATGACATCGCAGACATGAAATTTTCAAGCTTTAAAATCTTTAAATGCATTTTAGCATGATGAGTAGTGAGCGCGAGAAGGAATAAGAAATATTTTTACTTTTTATATTTTTGAATCAATTTATAACATTTTACTAAAAAATTAAGAGGGAAACCTAAGCATTCAAAATCTGAAACTGAAAAATTCAAAAACTGAAAATTAGTAGAAAATTAATGCTACTTATCGAACTTAACATAGTTTTAAAAATCTGATAATTAATTTAAAAAAAAATAATAGAAGTAACCATATGCAGTTACTCATCTTTCCTTTATCTGAGACTTTTTATGCTATATTTTTCATGAAAATTATCAATAAAGCTTTATGGGAGAGATTATTATTTAATGACTTTTATATAAGTTAACCACATCAATTTAAAGTGCTGTTAGCATCTAGTATTATTTTTCTACTCATTTTCAAATTTCGAATGCTTAAATTTCCTTCTTGTTTTTCATAAAGATTTTGTTAGTAATTAAAAAATATAATATAAAAGCGTGAACAATATTTCTCGTTCCTTCTTGCACTCACATATCCTTGTGCCAATATGCGACTTTCTAAAGCCTGAAAACGAATGTCTGCGATGTCATCCTCCTGCGAAGATTTGCAGGTGGTTTGTGTTTCACGACGATATTTTCGAGGCTTTATTGCGATACTTTGAACCGCTATACTTCTGATGACAATGTTTTGCACCAAAATGCGTTAGAACTGCGTTGTTTTCTCCTTGCTTTCATCTCACGATGTTTTGCATGACCACGTTTCCAAAACGTCTTTCCCCCCTCCGGTTTTGTTCTCAATGCATTTGTCATGACATTTCCGGCGGACACCGCATTTTTAAGGATGCACCGCTCTGTTCTTTATTCAACGTCATATTAAATATATAAGGACTATTAATGATTTTGAAGTTATCAAGCCGCACTCCAAAAAATGAGAACAGATTGCAGTGGCATTACTTACCACGGATACCTACCCTAGGTGAAAGATGAAGAAACGGAGATCGTCCGCCCTAGTATATTCAAATATAATGCACAGGATTTCTATACAGATACATTTCTAGTAACTCCAGGCTCTTCATAGCTTCAATTTGGAGAAAACAATCCATCAGTTCATCTCTGGGAGATTCAAAGAAGTATTTGGCTGTGACTCCTCTCTCAACCAAATCCTTCTGTGATGTAATAAGGTACTTCTCCCGCCTTCTTAGGGTGACTTCGTGGTGTGGGGGTCTGCCCGCTGGGCGCGTATTCCGCTGGCTCGTCGTTCGATTCCCGGCGAAGGCGTTGCTCATTTTTCATCTCTCCTGGTTCCAATTAAGCTAATGTCTCTACAGTGGAGTCCGAATTAAAAGGGTGGTGGATGATGATTCTTCACACCCAAGATCTGACGATTGGGTCTCCTAAAACCCCAGTCGCCCTTTAAAAAAGGGGGCGTATATAAGATATTTCTCCCGCACTCTTAGTGTGTCTTCGTAGTGTGGTGGTCTGCACACTGGGCGCGTTTTCCAGAGGTCCGTGGTTCGATTCCCGGGGTTGCTCATTTTTCGTCTCTCTCTTGCTTCAAATTAACCTAATGTCTCTACAATATCACTACAATGCAACGGGTGTCTTGCTTTATTTGACAGATGAGGATCGTTACGAAAACAGAGTTAGAATTTGCCAAAGATTCCACATTATGCAGTCGAATGGGAAGGATGCTCTTTTGCTTAGTTCGACGCTATACTGGCTGATGCTTGATATTTCAGAGTGGATTGCGGCTGATAATAATGATAACATGGATATGATCATTACAATGAATTATGAAAATATGAATAAGACTAAAACGAGAAAGATATGGTTTTTGACCTAATGAAGGAAATCGAAGAACTTGAGCATAAAATTCGTCATACCCGAGATGTTAAGGCCCAGATGGTTGCTAATACAAATCATTGATGACCAAAGTAATGGGAGGACCACGTGAAAAACAACTGGAATCCTTTAGAAGTAAATGCGAGCTTATTTCATCTCAGTGCGCTAGAAACATATTTCTAAAATATAAAAAATTATAAGTTAAACAATATTTAAAAAAATTTTAATCCTTGATGACTCTGATGATAATGCTGACTGTAATAATGATTTTCTAAATTTGACTATGACGACTAAACTTTCTAAGAGATATTTAAATGTTAGAGATATGTATTATTATAACTCTGTGAAAAACAGGTTTAGTCCTCTAGACGCCACTGCTAATGTTACTGATACCCAGGCAACGGCAAATGTTGCGAAACAACGACATAATTCTGCACAGCAGTTAACCTATCCTCAACAGTCGCAGTCCGTCCTGTCCTTTGTAAAGTTGCGCGCTTCCAACCTGCACGCAACAAAGTGGTGACTGCAGAAAACTGTAAATTAGACAGAGTCTTGAGATGGTTTTAAGTCCCTTTTTATTCAACTTTAGAAATTACAATTGCGTGGTCTTGACGCTCACAAACTACGCCGACCCGGCGGTATAATAAAAATAAGAAACTGAAAAGAGATAATAGCAAATGACTAACTACGAGGCTCTCTAAACGTAACTAACCTCACCGCGTTTTAAAATACCGCTGATAATTCAGCAAACTCTGAAGATTACGTTGAAAGATTAACAATTTGCCGAGGCAAGCACACAGGCCGAAACGCGTGGTTCTCTAATTTCTAACTAACTACCTCCGCGCCCGTGAAGTACGAAAAGCACACATCGAACTCGTTTCCTTTCTATTTAACTCAGAATACTTCCGCTGATAATTTGAATCCTTGCGCGTTCTACTAAAATTTACATACTCTGGCATTGGCAGTTCCAGGGGAAAGTAACGCTTGACAGGAAAGGTAGTTTAAACTTAAAATAAATGTTAGTTAAAATAAATATAAACCCTACATTTGCCGCTGCCAGAATTTGGAAAACTTGGAAGCAGGTCCTACAAACGACCTGATGTAAAGTTTCTACAATTCTGAACTAACTTTTAAGAGCCTCGTTTACATAAAAAATCTTATCTCACAAAAGGTATATTATACTAAATTTCTGTAGATAATTATTTAAATCTCTCTTCTTACAGCAACTTTTCCTGGACTTCAGCAATCAATCTTGTTCTTTTCCTTCCAGCATCTGGAAGGAATAAGTATCAGTATCTTTCTAAATACATTATATTTACACTTTCTCGACACTGAATAAATTTTTGTTTTTTAAACGATTTATTTTCCTTAGTTACTGCTTAATTTCACATTCATTCAAGTATTCAAACATAATTTAACTTTACCCTGGCTCTCCACCATGTGTGGTGTCAAAACGGGAATATTCGTGTTTTAGTATTGCAACACTTCCCCTAACCACCATGATTTATTAGAATTCAACGACCAAATAGACACACCTTACTCGACATTCTACAACTCGATGAGCTACTTTAACATTCTTAAAATTCAAGTGTAGGTGGAGAACCCTACAAAACACATTCATTCTAACTTCCCCCTCATTCATTTTTAGACATGCAGGCTTTCGCTCTAAAGCATGATTTTATCTACAGTTTAATACTTAATTGGAATTCATTGCTTTTCAGCATTTACTTTTAGCATCTAAAATTTTATGCTTCTAGACTAAATTCTACTTTTACATAACTTTCAAGTATTTACGTATATTTACAAAATTCTAATATATATGACTTTTACAATTTACCATAAAATGAATAAGAGAAAAATAAATTTTTACTTTACTCATTCTTCGCCAAGCTGGCAGCACTGAAACTAAAATTTTTATTAATACAAGAATACGAAGTTATTTTTATCTTCGGCCAAATTTTGGCTTTAACATAACAGAATTAGTCTTTCGACCAACAGAAACTGCTTGTTCTTAGATTTTATACTGAAAGAAAATAATACTTTTGCCTTAGCTAAATAAAGTAAAACAAAACTAAGTCTCAACCGAGACACATTGACTTTCGTCAAAACATAGAACTTCGTATTTACGCATAACATTTTGGAACAAAAGAAAAAAACTTATATAAAGATTTTAACTTATCTTTGAGTTTTCGATGATTGGAACTCCGTCATTCTTTCTGGCAGAACTGTTCCAACGTGATAGATTTCATGGACGTCAGTCTTCTTTTGACCTCCGAGTGTCGTTCACGTTAATTTTTCTTTTTCGTCCTCTGCATGCTGGCCCTCTGAGTATCGTCGGTTGCTGTCTTTTCGTTTTTTTTGCCTTACTTTGGGGAAGATTTTCGATGTTGGGAACTCGTCATTGGATTAGATTTCTGGTCAGAACGTGTCCCTCGGATAGAAAAGTAGGTTCTTCTCTCTTGGACCTCCCGTCGAGTGTCGTTCCATTTTTTTTCTCTTGCCTCTCTTGCTTTTCCTCAGGTTGGGGAGAGGGGGGGGGGGGGGGGGGGGGGGTGGGAATATATGGGGGGAGGGTGGTGTAGTTAGTCGGTTTCGTTCGAAATCGAACGTTTTCTTGTCTGAACCTAACGTCCTCCGGTCCTTGAATTTCTTCTGTTGGGTGGTCTTTTTTCCTTCTCTGTCTTTTATTTTCGGGAACGGCGGCCTTGTTTGCACCTGACTCTCTGGCCCTGGGAGCGTTCTCCTTGATGTATAATTTCTACTGCGA